CTTTTAAGGTTGATGGATTACTTGTAAGCTTATACAGACAAAGCTACACTACTGGGGAAAATGGTATGGGGCTACCCAGGGTTGAAGGCGAGATCCATGTCCAGGAAATCATAGAGTGGGGCGAGCTGCCGTGATGGTAGAGGAACGGACTCCGGCCCATCCAAGGAGGTGTACGAAGCGCAATCATCCCGCGCCAGTTTGACCACGAAGTCCGCTGCTTGATTGCCCTCCCGAGGTCGGTGTCGCCATGTACAGTGGATTGTAGCTACTAGGCGGCGGGCCTGGAGGTATTGGGCGCGGAGCCCGGGATGACTCACACGGTAGATACCCTGCATTTGACGCATGAGCAGTTGACTATCCCCGTATACCGTAAGGTGGGTGTATCCGCGGGACTGGGCTAGCTGAAGGCTTCGTAGTAGGCCATCATACTCAGCTTGGTTGTTCGTTGTGGCTGTAGGGATGAAATGTGCATCGTAGTCGCAAAGAAGGGGGTATTCGCGCGGCATAACCAGGGCGCCGGACCCCCCACACGCCGGGTCCAGACGGGCCGCTCCGTCAAAGAACACCACAGCGTCCATGCGCACTGGGGTCTGTCCGCGCGGTGGAGGGATGGGTGGGGAGTTGAGGAGACGGCACTGAGAGCCCAGGGCATGGTAGAGTTCTGCGCGGAGCCGATGTCGTCGGCGCGTGTGGTAGCTCGTGAGTGCCGCGAAGTGGGCCTGGAGTAAGAGAGGGAATGTCCCTGGCGGAGAGATGTGGTCATTATTGGCATGGAGGGCTGCGCATCGGTCGTTCCATAGCTGACGTAGGGAGAGGCCACGGACGAGACGCCAGGCTTGATGGCCTAAACGATCTTGGGCGATGCCATGTGTGGTCCAATTGGGCGAGGCTAAGAGCCATGGTGCCGGTGGAAGCTGCTCGCCTTGCAGGATAGAAGCGGCGTAGCTGGAAGTGTGCTGGTCGGGAGTAACTCCGAACCAGAGGGCCAGGACCTGACGCCAGTGAGTTTGCGCGCGCGGGCAGAGCCAAAAGGTATGTGCCGGCCCGTCTGGGGCCTTACAAAATGGACACATTGGTGGGAGAGGGGACGTTCGGAAGGGGAAGGCCTGGTGGTGCCAGCGGTACATAAACCACTGGAGCGCTCCGGGTAGCTGAGAGTCCGTCCATCCTCTGTCCCAGAGCTCGGGGGCATGATCAAGGTCTGCTGCGCAGCACAGTCGGATCTGCCGCCGCAGGTATTTAGTGTCGGAAGGCGGGGTTGGGTTGAGAGTAATATTCATTGCTGAGCTGATGCGCTTAACCACCGGGGGTTGGCGTCGTAGGGTCACCGGGGCTGGGGCAATGGGGAACCACATACGACGGAGGGGTGGAGGCATGGTGGGCTGGCACGTGAGACCCATGCTTAAGGTGAGCAGGTACAGATATTGAAGGTGAGCTTGGTGTATAGGCAGGGGGCTGTGCTGGGGTGTGAAGGTCCACATGTCGCCCAGCCCGGTTTCTGAGAAGGCCGCGGCAAATGTGTCGAAGTGAGAGCGGCGGAGGGCGTGATCTTGGTGGTCTCTAATCCACGTATTGTCATGGAGTTGCCCATGCCATAAATGCCGTCGCCATTCGGATGTGGTTGAGCTGAGCAGGGCCGTTTGGAGACTAGTCGCGGACTGTTTGAGTTCCATGGGCATGTGGCAATGACAAGTGCCCGTTTTGTCCCAAGTGAACGTGGCGGCCAGGCGCGCTGCCTGGAGGAAAGCCATGGTGGAGTCGCGGGCCATTCGTGTACGGGGCCAGGCTTGTGCAAGTGCCCTGCTGGCAAGGACCTGGCCGCAGAGAAGAGAGTCCTCCAGAGGTCGCAGGGGGGTACGGCGTGCTGTTGGGTGGAGGATGTATGGAGATCCACTAGGGAGCTGGAGGCCGCTCAGCGCTATGGCATGGGCCCACCCGTCCGGGGAGTGAACTAGGCGTACAAACCGCCGAAGCGCCTGTTGCTGAGCAATGCGCCGGACATCCGGTAGGCCCCATCCATATTGACGCGTAGGTTTGGAAAGGTGGTATTTGGCGATGTAGGTGGGGAGTTTACCCGGTAGTGCTACTGTGGAGCCGCGCCACCAGAACCGGAAAATGAGAGCCTCCAGTCGGGAGATCCAATGGTCGGATGGTTGGAGGTACGTGGCCAGAAAGGCAATTTTGGGGTGTACGATTGCGCGGAGGATGATGGCCCAAGCGGGTTGATGGAGAGGTTTGATATTCGCCAATCGAAGGCGTTCTTCAATGGATTGATAGCATAAGGACCAATTTGCGTCCGACAACGAGCCGAGGCCCACTTGTATGCCGAGGTAACGGCGCCGATCGGGGCCGGAGACAAAGGGTATGCCATGAACCACCTTGGGCGTGTGGAACGTGTTCAGGCATATGCCAAAAGATTTCTGGAGTTGGATGTGGAGGCCCGACATATCCCCGTAGTCTTGGAGATGTCGAAGGATCCAGGGGAGCGAACTAAGGCGTTGGAGATAGATCGCTGTATCGTCGACATGGGCATTGCAGATCAAGGGATGGGATGCAAGGCCA